CTTAGGATCGACTAACCCATGTGCAAGTGCCGTTCACATGGAACCTTTCCCCTCTTCGGCCTTCAAAGTTCTCATTTGAATATTTGCTACTACCACCAAGATCTGCACCGACGGCCGCTCCGCCCAGGCTCATGCCCCGGGTTTTACTTATACTTGCTCGGTTAGTGGGTGAAGATGAATGGTTTGGTGATGTCTTCCATCGAACACAGAAGAGAAAAACAGAGAGAAAAATAGAGAGAGAGAAGGGAAAGGAGAAGAGAGTTTCGTGTGGGCTTTCATGGGTGAAGAACACAGAATTGTTTCGTGGCATCCCTTTCTGCGATCATCTTGAGATTTTAGTATACAGTTGGTGGCGCCTCAATCTGCACATCTACTGGTTTGATTTGCTATTCCTCTTCTCTATTATCATTTTGGAGAGATTTATTTTTGTCTCTGAGTTATTTGGTGATATGTGATGAAATCCACCTTTGGGTGAGTAATTGATGCTGATAGCCTCTAGATTTAATGCTAGAGAAGAACTTTGTTGTATCCCATTGATTTATTAGTGGAAGTTTTTGAGTGGCTAATTGCTTGTGGTTTTTCCCTTCGTTTTGGAGGGTTTTCCACGTTAAAATCTTGTGTCTTTATTTGTAGATTGTGTTCTTGTTATTGCATATATTTTCTATTTGGTTGATATTGTTTGACTTGCATGCTCATTTAATTGCACAAAGAGGGAAAGAGAATTATTTTGCTTCAGTTCAGATATATTTTGTTATTTGGCTATTGTGAGATAACAGGCTTTTTCCCAACAAGATTATAGTGGTTTTGGAGTGTTTGAGTTCCCACAAACTGTAGATGTGTTTGTTTCTGCAGTATGTGAGAGAATGATTTTTTTTTTATCAGGCATAATTGTAATTGCATTATTTATGTATTTGTTTGCAAAGTGAAGCAGCAGTCTGTTGATTGCAAGGTTAAAAATTAATCTCATCAGATCGATTTCAATTTCTAGCATTAAGATGTCTGCATCACCTTTGTGCTCCTCCAAATATTATGAAAGGCAGTTTTCAAGAAACTTGGTTGATTACAAGTTTCAAATCCATTACAACAAAATGTATTAAACTAGCATGAAGATCATTAATCCTGTACAATTGTTGATGTGCTCTGATCTTAATGATGGTTGAATCCCAACCAATGCTGGTAGATTGTAAAGGTCTCACTGCTGAGCTCATAGCTTTGATAGCATCAATAGAATGATTTCACAAGATCTTGGTCTAGAGGCTCTTAAACCTTCTCACCCTGTAGTCTTCAGCAAGAAAGGACCATGGCTTGGGTCCAATTTTACCTGCCTTATCTTCAAAAGGGCAGACAACACGTCATTCATGTCTGGCCGATCCTCTGGGGCTGGGCAGGTGCAAGACAAAGCCAATTCAAGAAGTTCGAATACTTTCTCTTGCTCCTGTTGGGTGGATATAGTGAGAGCTAGATCTGGGTCAATCACTTGAAAAAGCCTTTCTGCTCCATTTTTTAGAGCCTTCTCCACCAGTTGACGAAGAGTAATTGGAAGTCCATTCTCTTCTATTGTCCCAGTAGGACTTCTTCTGGTTAGGAACTCCATCACCACTACTCCAAAGCTGAAAATGTCCACCTTAGTTGTAATTTTCCTCGTGTATGCAAACTCTGAAGAATGAGATTAAAAAAAAATAAGAGAAACAAATAAATGCATTTGATCACAATAAACAGTAAAGTCTGAAGTGGATAACATGTCATAGAGGAGGCAAGAAAATGCTCAAAACATCATGAGATTTCTCACAGGCAACTCACAGAGAAGGTCAAATAAGAGTGCTTCATATTGTACGTTGAAACGGCAACTGATTTGTACATTCATAATTGAAATGAAAAATTTATTCTCAGCTATTGGTTTAAGATAGTTTTCTTTGAAAACTCAAATAACACTTATCCTTGCAAGTGAACAATAAGAACTTCTAAAAAATAATATTCATTCTGCATCATTACATCTCATGTTTTTAAGTAAAACAACTTGCTTAAGAGTCCCCAGATATCATTTAAGTATTGAAAGCAAAAGGGAAGAACTCATGTGATGCAATAGAAAGAGTTAAATATTTAAGACAATGTGAAATATGATAAACAAGAACAGAACCAACCAGAAGACAGAACAGAGAAGGATGTAATTTTCGCCCTGCATGAGGGGAAATATACAAGGCAAGGAAGAGGGACCATTTTGGTGCTACATATTTAAATATATAGAGTTGTAAAATCAACCACAGAAAATACCTGGTGCCAAGTAGCCAATAGTGCCTTCAAAGGCTGATGATGAGGAAAGGCTGCTTTCATCCTCGAGGTGAACACCCAGCATCCTAGCTGTTCCAAAATCACTCACATGAGCCTCCCAATCTCACCGAGAAGAATGTTAGAGGGCTTCAAATCACAGTGAATGATGGGGAAGTCATAACCAGAGTGCAAGTAAACCAACCCATTTGCAACAGAAACACATAAATTCAGCCTCTCAGAAATTGTCCACCTTGCTCGATCTGCATGAGGATCATGTATAATGCTTTCCAAGCTCCCATTTTCCATGTACTCAAGGACCAAAGCCTTTATCTTCCCACTCTCCCAAGCATAACCAACTATCTTAACTAGATTCCTATGCCTTAGATGGCTGAGGGTCTTGATTTCTCTACCAAAGCACTTGTCAACCTCTGCAGAGAATTGATACAGGTCCAGTTTCTTCACAGCTACTGCTTTCCCATCTTCAAGTTTACCCTTGAAAACACTGCTCATTCTGCTGGTACCAATCACATTATCTTTACAAAAGAAATCTGTTGCAACTTCCAATTCCTTTTGATTGAATCTCTTCAGGATAGGGGCTATTAAAGCATATTCTGGTTCTGGACATCCATCACCCTCTGACTTTTCCCTTTTGATGCATCGGCAAAGAGATAAAATTGCAAATATCAGAAGTACAAGAACAGAAACAGATCCAAGAACTATCAAAATTAAAGCAAACTTCTTGGAGAAGTGATGGGAGGCAGTCAAGCGACTCCTATTGCTGCATGGCTTGAGAAATTTGGTTCCACAGAGAGCAGTATTTCCTTGCAAGCTAGATGCATCTAGGTTTCTAAATATGCCTCCATTGGGAACAGGGCCTTCAAGCCAATTGAAGGAAAGGTTGAGATGTTTCAAGGTGGAAAGGTTCGCAAAGCTTTCAGGGATTGTGCCATTGAAGTTGTTGAGAGAAAGATCAAGATAGTTAAGATGCCTAAGATATGCAATGTTTTCTGGGAGCAAACCCTCTAACATATTGCCTGAAAGGTTCAAACTTGTTAGCAAATCCAACTGAGAGAAAGTATCACCTGGAACTTGACCTGAGATTTGGTTTCTTGACAGATCAAGAGAGAATAAATTTTGGCAGCCTCTAAGTGTCACAGGTATTCTTCCGGAGAGATTATTGTTGGAAATGTCGATAGCCTGAACCATTTCAAACCCTCCAAGCTCATCTGGAATAGTACCCTCCAAAAAGTTGTGTGACAAGTTAAGATATATTGATATGCTTTTCATGCTTGCTATCACTGATCCGGGAATAGAGCCACTGAGATGATTGTGGGAAAGATCGAGGACTGTTAATTGCTTAAGATGCTCCATGGTTTTCGGAATTGACCCATTTAGCTTGTTCCCTTGGAGATTCAAGTATGAAAGGAACCTGAATTTTGAGAAAGCATCTGGAATGGGACCTGTGAATCTGTTGAGCGCTAACCGGAGAAAAGTGAGTTGTTTCAATTCAAATAATGGCTTTGGAATCTCACCTTCTAGATTATTCTCAGGTAAGGAAAGTAATTGAAGTTGTGGTAATTTTGATATTTCAGGAGGAATCTGACCTGAAAAGTTATTCACGCCTAGTTCTAAGTTCACCAATTGACTTAGATTACCAATCTCAGATGGAATTGGACCTCCAAGGAAGTTTTCAAACAGAAGCAGCTTTTGCAAGTTATACAGTGATCCAAGGTTTGAAGGAATCCTCCCCACCATGAAATTTGAGCTGATTTGCAAAGTTGTCAAATTGGTCAAGTTCATTAATGATGAAGGAATATCCCCTGTCAATCGATTCAAGTGCATGTTTAGAACTATTAATGATCTCAAGGATCCGAGTTCAATAGGTATCCTTCCAGTTAATTGATTTCGTGAAAGACCCAGATGAGTTAGTGATTTGCATTGTGATAAGGAGGCAGGGATTGTGGAAGATAAATTATTCTCGTATAACCTTAATGTTTCTAAGTTTTCCAGTTGCCCAAGCTCAGAAGGAATGCCTCCTGTTAATTTATTCCTGTACAGGTTCAGATATACAAGTTTCCTACAACGACCGAGTTCAGGTGGGATCTTCCCAACAAGAAAATTTTCAAATAATTGAAGATACTGTAAGTTGGACAAGTTTCCCAATCCAGGAGGTATTATTCCAGACAACTGGTTCTGACTCAGATCTAGATTTTCCAAAGATCCTAACCTATCAACAGAAAATGGTATAGAACCTACTAATTTCTTTGTAAAACCTACTACTTGCTGAAGATTAACTAAATTGCCAATGTTAGATGGGATAGTACCAGTGAGGTTGTTTGAGTTGAAACCAAACATAGTTAAGGTCGTGCAGTTGCAAATGCTCTCAGGGATGCTTCCATCCAAAAGATTTGCCCCAACATCTAATATCTGCAGATTTTTCAGACTCCCTAACTCTGCTGGAATAGAACCAGAAAGTGAATTGTCAAAAACGATTAGTTGGATGAGCCCTGAGCAGAACCCCAACTGAACAGGAATAGAACCTGTAAATGAATTAGAAGTCAAGTCAAAAACCTGGAGAGTTGAAATGTTTCCTATGAATGGAGAAATCTTCCCTTCAAGTTTCTTTTCGACAAGAGCAATTGAAATGACCCGGTTAGATGAAAAATCACATGCAATACCAGACCAATTGCAGTGATGATTTGCATCAGTCCAATCTGCAAGTGCTTTAAGTGGGTCGTGGGTGACTGAACTCTTGAAAGCCTTCAAAGCCTCAAGCTCGACAACAGAGATCAACTCTCTGGACTGAACTACAGCTGCAACAGAAAAATACACCAAAACCAACACCAGGACAGCATCCCGAAATGCCATTGCTACCACGAAAATAATTTAACCTGAGTTTAAAGCTTAACCCAGAACAGAGATTTATAAGATGATTCAGTCAATGACAGTCAAATCCGGACCACTTTTATACTAAAGCTCTCGTAACGTCATACCGCCATTCCCTTAACCATGTCGACTTCTGAAAATAAACCCAAGAATTAAAATCTCAACCGTTTCACAACTGTAGCAGTAAATCCCCCCTTACCTATATCCTACTCAAATTCTTTACTGAGATCAATCCAATACACCCGTTTTCTAAATAGCTAGATTTTTCAAAGTCAAACAAACAAGCCTGAAAATTTTCAATTCAATCTTATCACTTTAGAATCCTAATAATTACAGACGGTTTAAGGAACCCAGACCGTTTTTCAATATTATTTTTCTCTACAGCATTTACTGATCCGCCGCGTAGCTTAAGGAGATGAGCTACCCCTAGTCTAAGCAACCTTATCTCCAACATGAATTTTAGCTAAAAGAGATTCACAGATACGGTCTGTACTGTAAATGGGTTGACCTCACCTGTCGGCGCGATCGAGAAACATGACTCCTCCATGGATTTCTCTTCTGTGACAAAACAACGTGCACAGATAAGTCAGTTACCCAAGTTTAATTTGTCAGATTGGGTGTAGGTAAGTCCTTTTGTCTGCGTGACGAATTTCGATTCGTATTGGGTTGCAAACTGAAATGGGAACCAATGGGCGTCAACATTTGTCGCCATCAGGCGACTGAACCTGAATGCTTTAGTGTTTCGGCCAAACTTTATCTCCTTGGTCGCTCGAACTTGAAGAATTTTGGTTGACTGGACAGCACTCACCAAGAAGTGGAAACACAGTTGGCTTCGGAATTCGAGTCAGTCTTTCCACAAGAGAGAGATGGGACCGATCGACCCTGAGCCTGAGGTCATATACTCATGTGTGGGGCTGGGAAATTCGGCTCTGCTAACGACAACATATAGCTGGTCACATTCGCACAAGCGTACGTTGGGAAAGTTAATTTGCCTACAAAAAGAGCAATTTGTCAAATAAGACACGATTTGTAGTATAAACTACAAAGAGGACAAGTGTAGAAACAAGCAAACTTACGATAGAAACGAGAAAGAACATGGTCAGGGAAAGAAAGTTTGGAGCTCAAAAAAGATTATTTTAATGTAAATGATTTAATTCCTTCATCGTCTTTAACTTAGAAAAAGGTACAAAAACCTTTTTGGACCCACTCTGTTAAGTTAAATTTTAGAGATTTGATATCAGTGAACTTTTCTTTTTTCTGATGTGTTGAATGTTATTCTAAATTTTGAATTCAGAATTTTGAAAATTGTCTAATGTCTATATCATTACAAAACAAAAAGTTATGGAATTTCAGTTTAAGAAATAAGATTTAAAAAACGAACATTATTTTTCCAATAAAGTTATAAAATTCCTCTAGATAAGAGTTAAGAAGAAACGATTAGACTCTGAGTTTCTACATGTTTATGGATTTTCTCATGGTCAGTTGGTCTGGACCTTTATTCCTCATGGTCGTTTCACCTATACTTCAGCCTATAAAGTTCTTCAAGGCACTGCCAACTCTTCATCACATCATATGGCTTTTTATAGAGTCACATGGGAAAAATTCTTAGAAACTAAAGGAACTCCCACCACGGATTCACCTTTTCCTTTGGGGATGTTTGAATGATTTACTTCCACTACTATCTACACTTGCCAAGTATTCTAGAAAGATAGAGACCCTATGCTCTATGTGCCAAGAGGAAGAGGAAGACTATGAACATCTTTTCCTTAAATGCCCAACTACAAAAGTGGTGTAGTTCGGATCTTACCTCTCATTGAGAGTTGATGATTTTGAGGGATGGAGTCTACCTTAATGGTTGGAATTTTGGTGGAACAAGAGTTGTTGGGATGATACATAGACTTTAAGTTTGTTTAGTATTTGTGCAATTATAATGTGGCATTTTTGAGAGGACTGATGCCAAGACAAGCCAAACTATCTAGCATCCCATTATCAAATTTTTGAAGTGACTAAGCTCAAGCTTGAACGAGTGATTCTCCAGCCTCTGACTGATCTTCCTACCTCTTCTGCTATCAGATGGCAAACCCTAGCTGAAAACATTAAGGCCCCATTTGCTTTTTGGTAAGTTACTTACCCAAGTAAATGCAGTTACCTGGGTAAGATTTTCTTGGGAATGCTTACCCAGGTAAGTGCATTTACCCATGTTCTTTTATTTCTCATGTAAATAAGGCAATGACCATTTTAGCCATAACAATCCATTATTAAAAGGGGCATTTTTATTCCATTCAAGTATTGGAAACTTCCCCCTAGGTGGGAAAGTTATTTACCTACCTAGGAGATGGGTATCACTTACTCGGGTAAGTGAACGAGGAAAATAAACTTTCCCTGGTCTCGACATAAATCTGAAAAAAGAACATGGGATTATTGGTCAATGGGAACCAAAATCCCATTGACCAACTGTCCCCCCTCTCAAAATCCGAAAAAAGAATGCCCCCTAAAGTTAATGTAGATGGGGTGGTCAGCCTTAATTCTTACGGCCCATGAACAGGTCTAGGTGCCAGCATGGAACATCTGAAGAAATTGAAGCTAAAGCCTTTGGAGAGGCTTTGCGCATGGCATTGAATTTGAAGATCACTCACTTAATTCTGGAGGGGGATGCTCAAAAGATCACAAACCTTGACTCTCCCCCCCCCCCCCCAACACCACATTTCATCATCTCTCATACTCCTAGAATATATATATATATATATTACAACAAGGAAGTCTAGAAATTTTTTCTTTTTCTGAATTTTTTATTTTTTTAATTCTATATCATTTTTGAAACAATCAATGAGATGCACTTTCCCAATGACCTAAATAATCTCTTCTAATAAATTACCCCCCCCCCAATCCCCCACTTTCTCCTAAATTATCTCTAATTCTTATTTATCTCCAAAATTATTTCTAATTTAAGAGGGAGTATTTCTCTCCTAAATTATCAATAATTCCTATTTATCTTCTACCCCACCTTTTATCTATATCTTTCTAATGAAAGTCTGGATTAAAAAATATAAAGAATAATTTAAATATTCGAACAAAGTTATATAATAATTTTAAAATATTTATTAAAAACAATAAATAATTTTATATTTTTACAAAATATATCACGAAATTATGTACTAACAATTTAAATTCTTTTTTTCCAGATTATCAATTTAAATATTCAAATAATTAAATTTTAAAATTAAAAAATAAAATATTATTCAAATATTTGAATAAATAAAAATCTTAAATAACAGAAAATTTAATAATATGTAATAGCTTTAAATCAATAAAATTTAAATAAAAAAAATTAATATTTTACATATTATTTAAATATTTAAATCACTAAATATTTAACATAACTAGATTTTCAATAGTTAAAATAATGAAATTAAGTAATAAATTTGAAAAAAAATCTTAAAGTAGAAAAATAATTATAACATAATATTTAAATTAATAATAATTTAATATCTTAAAAATTGATAATGAAATTATATATTAATAGTATCAATTATAATTTTATGGATTATTGAATTCAGTAAATAACAAAAACTTTTAAATATTTTGCATATTGTTTAAATATTTAAACAACTAAATATTTAACATAAATAGATTTTAAATAGTTAAAATAACGAAATTATATGATAAATTAAAAAAATCTTAAAAGTATAAAAATAATTATAACATAATATTGAAAATAATAATAATTTAATATCTTACAAAATTAACAGAAATTATGTAATAATAGTATAAATTATAATTTTATATATTATTAAATTCAATAAATAATTAATATTTTAAAATTTAAATATTTTACGTATTATTTAAGTATATAAATAACTGAATATTTTAAATATTTTAACATAACTAGATTTTAAATAACTAAGATAAAGAAAATATGTAATAAATTTAAAAAAATCTGAAAAGTAGAAAAGTAATCATAACATAATATTGAAATTAATAACAATTTAATGTTTTACAAAATTAATAATGAACTAACTTTAATAATAATTTTATATTTTTATAAAATATTGTAAATAACTAATTTCACTTATATCAATTAATAATTCGAGAAAATAGCTTTCAAAATCATTAATATTTATTAATAATAATTTTAAACTATTAATCTATATTTATTATATAATTATATGCTAAGATTAATATTGATTGTATTTTAGTAATTATTTATTATTTTTTGTGATAAATGTATTTACAATAATTATTTATAAATTTATTTTTTTTTTATTTAAAAAACTTTCAATAATTATTGGAGATTAAACTAATATTATTGAATTTTTTAAAATTTTTTTTATTGTACTTATTGAATTTATTGTATTTTTTATAACTTGTTTATTAATATTTATTAGAGATTAAACTATTATTTATGACCATATTATTGATTGACTAATTTAATATATTTTTAGTACTTATTATATTTTTTTAATTATTGTATTTTTCCTTACTAATATATTTTCAATAATTGTGTATTTTTGCTATAAATTTTCAACAATTGTTGGAGATTAAACTATTGCTATTTATCAAAGATGAGACTATTAATTTAGCTGAAATTATGAGTGTTCATGAGTCAGTTTGGTTCGATCATTGGCTGTTTGGCCAACCAAATTAACCTAGTCATGTTGCAAAGTTGGTCAGCTGAAACCGATTTGACCATTTGTGAAAATCAACCCACTCAGGTTGTATTGATTTAGGTTGATTTTTTAGTTTGGTTGGTCGATTAAAAGATTTAAACTTAAAAATTAAATTTATGATATAAAATATTTTAGACTAAGAAATCTGGGAAATTTCTCACTTTTCCGTATTAAAAATTATATTTAAAATATAAAATATTAATATATAATTATATATCCATGGTTAGGTCACTTAATTTTGGTCGGTTTACAAATGGCCAAAGCGAAACTGATCCAACTTGGTCGAGTTGGGAAGTTTTTTAACCAAAGTAGACCTAAAATATTAGAAAACCAACTAACTCGGGTCGAGTTGATAAGGTTGGTTGGTTTCATCAGTTAGATGAATAAACCTAATTGAAATTAATTATTGTTATTTTTTATTATAAAAAAATTTTAAAAGTAGTATATAAAATATGAATAATTATTAATTATTTAAAAAAATTAAAAATATAAAACAATTGTACACTCTTATGTAATTCTATTAGGGTTATTTACTAGAACACACCTTATAGTTTTACATATTTACTTGAACCTACGTTATAGTTTTCATTTTACTAAAATATCCCATATAATTTATAATTTTTTTACTTAATCAACCTTTCATTAAGGAGTATTTGTTTTGCCATTAGGCCCATGATTTTTTATTCCAAAAATACCCTTAACAATTTTTTGTATAGGAAACGACATTGACTAAATATAGCCAATAGAGTGGTTGCCCGTATTTTATTAGGGGCAAAAATGGTATTTTAATTTTTATTTTCTTTTGATTAAATTTATTTAAATGAACATTAGGGTCAACATTGTCATTTTCTACTATCATCTAATGGAAGATTAATTAAATCCATTGCAAATTATAAGTGGTGTTTTTTGTAAAATACAAACTATAGGGTAGATTTTAGTAAATCCATGAAACTATAGGGGGTGTTTTAGTAAATGACCATTTCTATTATTTAGCTTTTGCTTAACAAATCTCGTGCATCGCATGGGTCCCCGCTAGTAGGCAATATAGCATTCCATTCTTTGGTCAAGCATGCTTGTAATGTCTCTAGAACAATTAATTTCTTGGTCTTCGCCACCTGAATTTTTAATGCATGTATTGTTGAAATAAGATACAATGAA